CACACACACACACACACACACACACACCCACCCGGCGGGAGTTTAAGCCATCGGGTCTGAGACTCGAACCACAGTTGACTACATGGGAGTCCAACAACATAGCCATTACGCCAACTGCTGGCCCCTATATATTTATATTCTTAGAGACCTTTCTCTTTTGCGGCCATTGCTGGAGCGGCAGCAGCCAAAATGAAGTTCATTCCTTTCATGACTTCTGACTGAAGCGAGAACTGTAAAAGGCATTTCAGTGCACCTTCCCACATCTGCAGGAAGATTTTGTCTTCCCCCCATTCCAAAGAGCTGAGGCAGAAGTACAATGTGCGATCTAAGCCCATCCAAAAGGACGATGAAGTTCAGCTTGTGCGAGGACACTGTAGAGGTCAGCACAGTGGCAAAGTAGTCCAAGTTTACGGGAAGAAGTCCGTCATCTATATGGAGCGGGTGCAGTGGGAAAAGGCTAATGGCACAACGGTCCATGTGGCATTCTCCCCAACAAGGTGGTTATCACTAGACTAAAACTGAACAAAGACCCAGAAAAATCTTTGAATGGAAAGCCAAGTCTCACCAAGTAGGAATGGAAAAGGGCAGATATAAAGAAGAAACAATTGAGAAGATGCAGGAGTAAAATAATCTTATATACAGTTCTTATTAAAAACTGCTAAGATGAAAAAAAAATCCAATAGAATTATACATATATAATTGTATATAGATTTATACAGGTTGAACACCTCTAATCCAAAAATTCAAAATTTTTTCAAATCTGAAACTTTAAGAAAAAAATTTGCCAGAGGATTTGTATGCTCACCAGAGATAGACACAGAAACAGAGAGGGAGAGGGAGAAAGCACCTCGCCTTCCAGTGGGATATGGTCACATTGCAATTTCTTTTCCTCCATCTCTCCATCTTGATGGGATTTTGGGCATGCACACCTAGCACATTTTTTGGGCCACCTGGTCTAGAACTCAAACCACATGATCAGCCATATAATACTTGGTTCCTTTAACCACTAGGCCATTTGGTTGCCCTAAATCAGAAACTTCCTGAGCACTAAGGTGACACCACAAGTGGAAAATTCCACACCTACCCTCATATGACAGGTTGCAATCAGACGGCTAAAATACAAAAATGGTGTATTCGAAAAAAAAAACAAAAACGAGGGTTAGCAGGTGGCATGGTGGTTAAAGGCGCTGGATTCCCACATGGCTGATCATGGTTTGAGTCCTGAACCTGGTGGCTTGCTTAATTTCTTTCCCTTCTCTCTCTCTGGTTAAATTAAAAAATACTGCTACTACTACTACTATTACTACTACTGCTGAATGGAATTAAATAAATAAATAATTCTTTTAAAAACAAATAAACCCAGAAAACAAAAGTATTTTATAAAATGACTTTCAAGGTGTGTATAGAAGGTATGTATGAAACCTAAATGAATATTGTGTTTAGATGTGGTTCTCATGCCCAAGAGATCTCGTTATGTGCATATATTCTAAAATCTGAAAAAGTAAAAAATTCAGGGACCAGCAGTTAGCATAATGGCTGTGTCGCTGGACTCCCCCGTAGTCGACCGCGGTTCGATTCCCGGACCCGGTGGCTTAAACTCACGCCGGGCGCATGTGCGTGTGTGCGTGCCCAAGATCCTGAGAGGAGAATGGAGGAGAAGGAAAAAAAAAAGAGAAGAGGATAGAGAAAGATAGCAAGTGAACAATAGAGGGGATGTTAGTGAGAAACAGATATGGTTTATTATCTGTTGAAGATGACGTGTATAGTATTCTCAACTGGACTGGTCTGGGAAGTATTTCATGATGGGTGAAGTCTTTTAACAAGCAAAATGAGAAATAGTGATTGACTGTTTTAAAAAATTATAATAATAATAATTATTGGGAAATGCATGGAAAAGACTTTGAATGATAAAGCGGGGAGATCGATGCCTCTGTATTGACTGACATGCATGGCATTCCCTTTTGAAAAAGCAATGGAAGTCAATGTAAAGTTATATGTAATCCAATGTAATATAAAGAAGATTATGATGATAATAAATAAAAAATTAAAAAATTAAAAAAAAAAAAAGTCCAAAATCAAAAGCACTTCTGGTTCCAGGCATTTTGGATTGAGAGATATTCAACCTGCATCATTCTTAATATCAGTTGCATGGTATTATATGACCATTCATAATAAATTTAACCATTGCCTTATTGGTAGACATTTGGTTTACTTTTTTTTTTTTCTTTTTTCTTTTTTTGGAGAGGATTTTGCTATAGGGCCCATGTGTTCTCTAGAAAGACAGAGAGAGACAGAGAGACAGAAAGCAAGAAATCATCCCCAGGGGAGATGGTCACGCTGCAATCCCTTCTCCTCCATTCTCCTCTCGGGATCTTGGGCACGCACACACACACGCCTGGTGTGAGTTTAAGCTACTGGTCCGGAACTTGAACCGCGGTCGACTACATGGGAGTCCCGTGACATGGCCATTACACCAACTGCTGGTCCCGACATTTGGTTTTCTTTTCTTTTCCTTTTTTAAGAGAGATTTTTGCTATAGGGTTCGTGTGCTTGCTGGGGAGACAGAAAGTAAGAACCCCCCGCCCCCCGCCATGGGGGATGGCCACAATGCAATCCTTTCTCTTACATTCTCCTCTTGAGATCTTGGGCGTACATGCACATGCGCCTGGTATGAGTCTCAAGCCTCCAGATCCAAGACTTGAGCCATGGTCAACCACGTGGGCATCCAGTGACTTAACAGTTACACCTTCTGCTTGTCCCATTGGTTTTTAGCTTTTTGCTCTTATAAACAATACTTCAGTGAATATTTTGATACAGATAACTTTGTGTACTTGTGGAATTTTATCTTGTGTAAATTTTTAGAAGGGTTACTAAGTTAGGCCATTTAAAATTTTCTTGATTGTCTTTTAGAATCTGATTTCCCCACTTCTAATCCTTTCTTCTATTCTCCAAATCATCCTCAAATTATTATGTTTCTCAAGATTTTATCTTAGGTCCTCTTCTGTACTTTCTGATATCTCTCAACCATTGGTTGTTCCCGTATCTTTCTGTCCAATTCAGTCATTTTTCTTTAGCTTCATTCATATACTAGCTCTTATTATATATCTCCCAAACTCATTATCTCCCCTCCATATCTTTTCCTTTACCTATGTTTCTATTCTGGTAAAAGACACCACCATCTACTCAATGCTGAGCCAGGAACCTACCTGAAAATTATGAGACTTTTTTTTTTTTTAAATGTAACTTTATTTATTTATTTTAATTTGACCAGAGAGGGACAGAGAGAGACAGGGAGGGAAAGTGAGAAAGCAAGCCACCAGGTCTGGGACTTGAACCACAGTCAATCATGTGGGAGTCCAGTGTTCTTAGTCACCATGCCACCTGCTGGCCCTGCTGTGACTCTTTTCTCTTAAGTTTTTGCCATAGGGCACTTGTGCTTGCCAGAGGGAAGAGGCACAAAGAGATGCAGAGACAGGGAAGCAAGAAATCACCCCTTAGTGGGATGACATGCTGCAATCTCTTCTTCATTCTCCTCTCAGGATTTTGGGCATGCATGCATGCATATGGTCCCAGTGTGAGTTTCAAACCACTGGGTCTGAGACTTGAACCATGGTCAGCCAGGTGAGAATCTAGTCACCTTAACCACAACGCCACCTGCTTGCCCTTCTCCCAAATATTTTTAAAATTTATTTTATTTTATTTGTTATTATTATTTTTAAAATTTGTTATAGGTTACATGCACTCACCAAAGTGAGAGAAAGAGAAAGTGAGAGAGAGAGAGAGAGAGAAAGTGAGAAAGCAAGAAAGCAAGCCTCCAGGCCCAGGACTTGAACTGTGGTTAGCCATGTGGGAGTCCAGCATCTTAACCACAACATGACCTGTTGGTCCCTCCTGAATTTATTTTTAAGAGAGATTTTTGCTATAGGGCTCATGCACTCACTGGTGAGATAGAGACAGAGAGAGAGAGAAAGCAAGAAATCACTTTCCGTAGGGGATGATGCCGCAATCCCTTCTCCTCCATTCTCCTCTCAGGATTTTGGGCATGCATGCACACATGCCTGGCATGAGTTAAGCTGTTGGGTCCAGGACTTGAACCACAGTCAACATGGGAGTCCAGCGATGCAACCATTGCACCATCTGATGTAAATCATGCCTGGCTTGAAAATTACGCCAGATTTTATGCCCAGAATCCCAGGAGGAGAATGGATTGTGGCATGGCCATCTCCTCCAGTGGTGATTTCTCACTTTCCTTCTCACTGACTCACTCTGCCTCTCTCCAGCAAGCGCATGCACCCTATGACAAAAATATAAAAAAAAGAAAATGGAGTTCCTTCCAGCAGCTCAGCATTTGTATTTCTCATGCATCCCTGGGGTACATAGCTCTCTGATGGGTCCTGTGAAGAGATAAATATATTTCTGAGAAGATGTCTTTTCTCTTATAGCTTTTCCCCTCACTATAACTGGTAGAGGTGTTTTATTTCAGTTTTGCAGGAGGTATGTGAATCTAGTCTCTGTCTCTAAGTATTTTATTTAAGTCTCCACTTTCTGTTTCTCTGTTAGTTTACCCATTGCCTTTGATCTGCTCGTCCTGAAACACAGGTGGAAGAGTTTCTTTCATTGGTCACTGGTAGCCCTAATCCTCTTTCTGGTGAGTTATTTTTTCTTATTTTATTCTAAAGTTGCAGTGAAAGCAGTCTTTGATGTGGGAAAGGGAACATTTGGATTTCATGCTGTTTTTAAATTTCAAGTTTATCCTATTAGCATTTGGAAAATGTTTACAGACCAAACCTCCCAACGGCTGAGTGTTTTCTTCTGTTCTAGGTGCCCGTGGTGGTCATTGACAGTTACTACTATGGGAAGTTGGTGATTACACCACTCAACATTGTTTTGTATAATGTCTTTACTCCTCATGGACCTGACCTTTATGGTAAGACTATGAAATCTGGGGAAAAGTTAGGAGATAACTTTATTTGCCTGAGCTTCAAAATTTTAATTCAGTTGTCTCATTTCATCAAATGTCTCATTTCATCAGATCTTTGCTACCAATCTTCTTTTCCTATTTAAAAATAGAATGACATTTGAATATAGCACAGTGATGACATGTGGCCACTCAGTTATTTCTCCTTGATTAATGTGATGTTCAGATACTGCCTCTCTGTTCATTCTGCTGCTGTTCCCAGTTTTAGAGTTTTAAGATTCTGTTGGGCATACCATGGCTTTTGAGTCTACTCTTTTTAAGGATTTTGCCGTAGGGTGTGTGCCCTCGCCGAAGAGAGACAGTGAGAGGGTAAGTGAGGAATTCCCCAGGGGGGATGGCCACATCATAGAGGGTAAGTGAGGAATTCCCCAGGGGGGATGTCCACATCATAATCCTTTTCTCCTCCATTCTCCTCCTGGGATTTTGGGCATGCGTATGCACGTGCTCAGCGTGGTTTTCAAGCCACCAGGTCCAGGACTCAAACGGTGGTCAAACGTGGGAGTCCTGTCCCTTAATTGCTATGCCACCTGCTGGCCCAGATTCTACTCTTTTTTTTTTTTTTAAGTTACTTTTTTTTTCTTGAAAATGACTGATTATATCAATAACAAAAGAAAACAAAAACATAATGCCGTCAATCTACTTAGTTATTATTAGCAGAGTGTATTCCTTGAGACATTTTATCTATGCAAATACACATAAAATGTTACTTTTTCTTTTTTAGTTTTGCATGACTTCAACATGAGGCATTAGTAGACTAAGTTCGGAAAATTCGTAGACAAAGAGGGTCAAATGAGAACGAGGTCAGCCTGAGAAACTGGATGGTTTGGCCAGCTTAGCGTTAAGAAGAAAATTATGGAATGCCTTTAATCTGGGGATGCATCCTCTAGTTTACTCCCATCTCTACCCTCCTGTGATGCCTTCTACTCAACCAGCCTTTGCACCAGTTTTATTTGGCCCCTGAGAGCATTTGATGTAGTTACAGTTGCCACTGGATGAGCTGGTCTGATCAGATCAGCTAGGTCAGTAAACATTTTAGGAGAGAGACAGCTTTTTTGTTTGTTTTGTTTTTGTTTTATTTTTTTGATTAAGTATAGTTTCTTCTGCCTTACTTTCTGAGAGTCTTACTAGGGCATTCAGTGCATGTGATTATCTTGGGCTCTGCTCTGAAGCAGGTTATTACCTCCCTCTGTACTGCTTATAAATTTAAGTTTTGTCAGTAGCCATGACTGTCATCTCCCTGTGCCACTTTATCCATAGAACCAACAGAACTGAATGAGGAGACTTGTAGTAAGAATGTGGATGAGATTTACTTGAGACTCCTGAGATTGGGGACTATTATAATTTCATCAACATATGACATAAGATAGGTTAAAATAAGCAGTGTTTTGTTTGGTGAATTGAATTAACAAATCCCATAGTTAGAGAATAACTGCTTAATGAAAGAACTTGAAAAGATTTCTTTATGGCTCCTATGATTCCCAAGAAGACCCCCAATTTTAAGCTTTTGCCTCTAGATGTCTCCCTTTAGCCAGAGAGAGTGTGCATGTTTTTAATTGTCCTTGTTTTAGTTTACTTATAAAATTTTATTCGATTCTACAAGACAGTAAATGGTCTTAGACCCAGATTGCACAGCGGAAATCTATTTACATGGAGCCTGTTGGAAACATAATATCCCTTCTGTGTGGGTGAATCCATTGAGTTGATTTGTGTTGCTTTTGAAAAATTGGCTTCACAAATTGGCTTCATAAATGGGTTATTATATATTGATATGCTGACTGCTTATAAAACCTTTTGTGAGAGTATATGAACATGATATATATTTTCTTCATCCTCTAGATCCATGAGGCTTCTAAATCTGGCAATAATCAGGGAAGATAGGAAGGAAAGAATAAATTACTTTAACCCTAGTCAGGGACCACTGTGGTAGATTTTATGGTTTAATAGAGCAGTGGCCAGTCTTTTCTTGGATGGTGACATTTGCTATTCATTTCAGCCGGTGTTACACTTGAGAAAAGTCCATGGGACATCTTTCTGTCTAATTTGATGAACCTGAGATGGCTTCAGTTCAGATTTTGCTATTTTATAGGAACTGATCCTAGTGGTAGTAAAAAATTCATTGGGACAGAGGCAAGTGTCAGGTGGGCCAAGAACACGACTGATAACAGTGTTACCATCAGCCAGACTTCAGGGAATTATTGTGCCTTGGTGATAGAATTTTTGTGCTTTTACCTCATTTTTGAACTGGACAAATTTGCCCAAAATCTCAAAAGGAGAGAGAGATGGAGGGGAAGGAATTGTGGTGAAACCATTCCCAGTGAGTGGTGCTTTCTCCTCTCTCGCTCTTTTGAGTGCTTGTGCTCTCTGGTAAAAAAAGTGGAAAAATGGATTGTCAAATGTAGGGACTGCTGAGATAAAAAGATCAGATATTGCTGGTCAGCAGCTAGCATAATGGCTATGTCGTTGGACTCCCATGTAGTCGACCGCGGTTTGAGTCCCAGACCTGGTGGCTTAAACTTACACCGGGCACGTGTGTGTGTGTACCCAAGATCCCGAGAGGAGAATGGAGGAGAAGGGATTGCAGCGTGGCCATCTCCCCTGGGGGGTGATTTCTCGCTTTTTGTCTCTGTCTCTCTGGTGAGTGCACATGCCCTATACAAAAACCTCTCCAAAAAAAAAAAAAAAAGATTGAATATTGAATATTTTAAAAACTTAATACTATTACAGCATTGTCTGAATTTGAGGTAGAAACTTTAGCATGAACAAATTATTTCAATCTCTCCATTGTAATTGTAATGTAAATATTTACTCTCTCTGTTGTTCCTCATTTTCAAGGGGATCTTTCTATACTTTCTTGCTACATAGCATGTATTAATGACACATTCCAGACCTGAGCTGACTCTTTTCTTTTGAAACTGGGGAAAGAAAGAGTACTTTTACATGAATATTAGTTAAAATAGATTTTGTTAATCAAATATGTATTATATTCCAGAAACAGCCATTATTTATCTTTATTACCAGGTGAGAAACACTGAGGATGAGATGGTGAGGAACTTGCCACATAGTTAAATAAGTGGCAGAAAGGAGCTAAGAGTTCAGGATTGTCTGACTCCAAAAATGTGTATTCTTTGCACTGAAAACCACCTAAGCAAACCCCTGGAGTTGGGCTACTGAGATTCTACAGGAGAATGAGCCTGCAAAAACAGAGCATTGGGGCCAGCAAGTGGCATGGTAGTTGAGATGCTGGACTCCCACATGGCCAACAGTGATTTGAGTCTCACTTTTCCCCTCTCTCTCTGGTCAAATTAAAAAAAGAAATAATAATAATAATAAATTAATCTTAAAAAAACCCCAAACAAACCCAGAGTTTGAGCTGAGAGGTAGCAGTAGTTAAGGTCTAATCTGTTAGAATGGCTGGGAAGTTACCCCTTTGGTGTTCTGTGCTTTTTGACTTGGGGTGAGCAGGAGACCCTGGAGCTTGGATGGCAGTGATATGCACACTGGCAAGCTTTCTTCCACATGGGAGCATTGCGTCGGACCTTGTTCAAGAAAGGACAAGTGTTCAGATGATGTAAGGAATGTGTGGCATTTAGGAAATTTAGATAGTGTAGCCTAAAATTGCAAAGTCATAGGGAGGACATTTTTATGGGGGTCAAAGATCAAGAAATAAAGTTTAGTGCTGCAGAAAAGTAAGTGATTGGTCTTGGCGCTGATTTGCCTCTGGTAACATTTGAATTGTCAAATATTGATGTTGGCAGATTATTTTTTTCTGTCGAGTGAAAAGCAGTGTTCTCTGATGAGGAGCATACAGACCTGGTGAAGGCCTAGGGGACACTTAGGGCAAACACCCTTCCCTCCAAGAAAGTGAGTCTACTCAATACACAGAGAGGACTCCATTGCCTGATTCGTGTTTTGTTTGTTTTTCATTTGCTAGAGGGCATGTATGCTCACTGGAGAGAGAGAGAGAGAGACAGAGAGAGAAAAAGTAAGAAAGCAACTCACATGGGGGATCGCCATGTCGTAATCCATTTTCCTCAACTTCAGTTTTCAGGATTTGGGGCATGAATGCACAGACACCTGGCGTGTTTCCCAGGTCCTGGGTCTAGGACTCGGACTGTGCAGCTAGGCATGTGGAATCTAGCTATCTTAACCATGTGCCACTAACTGGCTCACTTGTATGTTTTTTGTTTGTTTTTAGTTTTTCCCCTTTATTCATGATAGAGTACATGTGTGTACATGAGACAGAGAGAGAGAAAGAAAGATGAGAACTTTCCACAGGATCTGGTCACACCATGAACCTTTCCTCCATCCCCTCAGCCTGCCAGATCTTGGGTACTCACACATTTCCCCAGCATGCTTTCAGGCCCACTGGGCTGGGGAGTTGAACCATGTTTGCCATGTTGTATCTGGCTTCTCTCTCTTTTATTTTTTTTTTTAACTATAGAGTACACGTGCTTATGAGAGAGAGAGAGAGAGAGAGAGAGAGAGAAAGTAGGATCGCCTCACCACAAAACCTTCTCCAGTCTCCTCTTGGGATTTTGTACCTGCCTGCACATGTGCCTGGCATGATTTTCAAACTATGGGGGTCAGGATTCTGAGAAGTTGGCCATATGGGATCCAACATCTTAACCTTTCTAACCACCTGCTGACCCTGCTTCTGGCTTCTCTGGAGCCATAGTTTACTGCCGCAGCACAGAGCTGGCCTTTTATGCGTTTATGTATTTTATAAACATCTGTCAATCACTGGACAGGAAGATTCAGAAAGTAAAGGTGACTGGCCTTTGATGGGAGGTCCATGGTTTTCCATTTTTATTCTTATGATGGTAGAGGAAAAAGCCCCAGTAGAGTGTTATGAGACCTACTTAAAGCTGACTGCTAACCAGAACTATTCTAGAACCTTCACTGTTTTGTTGATTACTTCTGTTAAACCTTGGTGGCTTTTCCCTCTTGGTGGTGCAGATTTGACATTTATAAGGATGATTTACTGTAGTTTAGTTCTTGCAGTGTGTAAAATTATAGGCCTGTAAACTGGTTCCCCTTCACTCAAGCTGTAGAACAGTAAACATTATGCCTTCTTCTTTACCCTTTCAGAGCTCCCTTTAGCTCATCTGAATGGAAGGAACCAGGGCACTTTCCTTAATGAAGGAGGCTGTGAGTCATTCCCTACAGAGACCTGCTGCCAGCTTTTTTTCACCTCCTCTCTTGCACAGGTTCAGTTGCCTACCTTGTCATTCCAGTGCGTTTTTCCTGTAGAGTTCAACTTTGATGTCTTCTGAGCAGCAGTGTTGAGTATCTCCCAGGAAGGAGATAAAAGTTTTACCTTTTACTTTCCTAAAGTGGATGACTCATCATGTAGGGGAAGACATTGACTAATAGAATTCACTGTTTGTGTTCCCTTTTGCCCTTGTTTTTAAGATTGTTGTTGCTTGAACCTTTTTCACTCTTGGCCGATCCAACAACTTCTGCCCCATCTTTCAGGGAAATAACAGACTATTACAAAATGCTCACAGCCTAGCTGAGAACTTGATTTATGAGCTTCTAAAACATGAAAATGTTTACAAGTTTAATAGTTTTGGTTCTAACAAGAGGCTATTGTAAGTTGTAGTAGGGATAAATATTTGCTGAAAACTAAAGAGCTTCCCTGAGAAAATAATCTATATGTGTAAATATTGAAGAGGTAGAGGTTTTTTTCCTACTGATGTTTATCATGTGTATTAGATATTTAAATGATAACCCCCTTTCTCTCTGGTCATGCTGTGTTTTTTTTTTTTTTTTTTTTTTTTCCTCACAGACTTATGTTGCCAGCATACTGTTAAGGAAAAAGACAGGTCAAAGGTTGATAGCACTGCCTCCATTCTGGTGGCCAGGAGGGGATTGTACAAAAGTTTACCTCTTAGGACCAGCAGATGGCATAATGGTTACATCACTGGACTCCCACGTAGTTGACCACAGTTTGAATAACAGTCCTGGTGGCTTAAAAACTCATGGCGGATGCATGGGCATGTGTGCCCAGGATCCTGAGAGGAGAACGGAGGAGAAAGGATTGTGACATGGCCACTTTCCTGGGGGGTGATTTCTCACTTTTTGTTTCACTGTCACTCTCTGTCTCCACAGCAAGCTCACACACCCTACAGCAAAAATCTCTCCTTTTTTTTCTTAAGATTTATTTAATTGTATTTATTATTGTTGTTATTTTTTAATTTGACAAGAGAGAAAGAAAGGAAGCCGCTAGGTCCAGGACTTGAACCATGGTTGACCATGTGGGAGTCCATTGTCTCAACCACCCTGCCACCTGCCAATCCTGCAAAAAAAATACACAAAAACTTGCCTCTGTGGAAACTAGATCTTAAAGTTTAGGAAATGTATTGTTAAGTATTAATTGAAATCCAGAGGAGACATATGTTTCTACTGTGAAAATAAAACAATCCATTAATTTCCTATGACCTAAATGATTATTTGTGGCCCCTATTTTATTTTATTTTATGTTCATTTATTTATTTATATTTTTAGAGAGGTTTTTGCTATAGGGTGCATGCGCTCACCAGAAAGACAGAGAGAGACAGAGAGATAGGAAAGCGAGAAATTCCCCCCAGGGAGGATGGCCACGCTGCAATCCCTTCTCCTCCATTCTCCTCTCGGGACCTTGGGCACGCACGCCACGTGCCTGGCGTGAGTTTAAGCCACCATGTCCGGGGCTCAAATTGCGGTCGACTATATGGGAGTCCAGCGACATAGCCATTACGCTAACTGGTAGTCCCTATTTTATTATTTTTTTAGAGAAATTTTTGCTATAGGGCATGTGTGCTTGCTGGAGAGACACAGAGACAGAAAGCAAGAAATCACTCTCCATGGGAGATGGCCATGTTGCAATCCCTTCTCCATTCTCCTCTCAGGACTTTGGCCACGCATGCACATGTGCCCAGCTTGAGTTTTAAGCTGCTAGGTCCAGGGGTCTGGGACTTGAGCTGTGATTGACCACATTGGAGTCCAGTGACATAACCATTACGCCACCTGTTAGTTCCCCAAATGGTTATTTATAAAGAATACAGGATTAAATGTCCCTATGAACTTGGCTTAGGACAGGACCTCTGTTCCTCAACAATCCCAATCATTGTATTTAGACAGGAAGAGGTGAGCTTTCCCTAAAGGTGACACGTAATTGAACTTGAATGCTTCCTTAGTGTAACCTTCCTCCCTCCTTCTCCTCCCCTCAGTGTTCTGGCATTACGGGTTTGGTTTCTAATCTTATTTTGCTGTGCAAGCTGCAAAATGTCAGGTTTTCCTGACTATTCCTCTGCCTTCTGATTACCCTTTTAAGCAATGCTGATTACAGGAAATTGCTATGGTGCAAGGCGGGTGTCACAACACACAGTGATTAAAACCCGCATGTGTCATTCACTGCCTGATTGAAGTAATCATGGAGAGGGAAAAGCAGATGAAAAACCTGCTAAATGTGCAGAGGGGGGCTGTTTTGCAGCACTTGGACTTAAGGATTTTGAGTTAAAGAATCGAAACTAGCGTGAGTGAGGCTTGTGTTGTCAGTCATGTTGCTTCATTCGGAATCTGTAAAGCTTCCAAGCAGGGCCTGGGGCTCTGAACATTATCCTAAGAAAAACAAGATGTTGCTTTTTACCTCACACATGGTGCCCTGTGTACATAACTATGAAATAGTGATTGAACACATGGAGGGGAAAGATGCAGAGTGTAAGTGGGAAAGGCAAAGGAACATAAAGAGAGGAATTCTGAGTAGCTCAGACCAAGTGTGTGTGTTGTTTTTGTGTTTTATTTTTGTTTTGTTTTATTTTTAGGTTTGTTCCATAGGGCACATGTGCTCACTGGAGAGAGAGAGAGAGAGATGGACAGACAGACAGTGAGAGGGAAAGTGAGAAATCACTCCCTAGGAGGAATAGCCAGCTGTAATCCCTTGCTGTAGTCCCTTTTACTCTGTTCTCCTCCTGGGATTTTGGGCATGCATGCATACACACCCTGTGTGATTTTCAAGCCTCTGGATCCAGAATTTGAACCACAGTTGACCGTGTGGGAGTCTAGTGCCTTAATCACCATGCCACCTGCTGGCCCCATGTGTTTTCTTTTT